CTCAGCTAGATTTGTTCTTGTGGCTGGTGAAGCCAAGCAGATATGGAAAAATGGCTTCCACTCTAAGATTCTTAGAATGTCTGGGAATCAAAATAGAGCTTAGCACAATTTATGAGAGGCATCAGGGACTTCTAAATGCAAGTATTCTAGGGTGGCTTTGTGATAGGCATCATCACAACTGAGATGCTGTGCATCGTAGACTTCTTGCCCCACACGTTTCTTACGCGCAAGCAGAAAGCAGATGACAACAGCAATACACGCTTTCCGTCACTGCGATTTATCTTCTCTGGAGAAATCTCTGACAGCCCTTCAGATGCCTTTCATGTGACTCCATGGCTAATAAAACCATGGGAAAATGGAGGATGAATTCTACAGAAAAATCACAGCTAATAAGACTAGTTAATCAAAAAAACAAAATTAAAAAGTAGCCAATGATAGTCACAGATTAACATCATAACAGCTCTGAAGGGATGAATAATCTTTGCAAGTTCTAATGACATCACGCTCGGCTCATTAAAGTACACTCATTAAGTCATTAAAGGGCACCTGATTTGTGTATCATCATGGAACAGCCTCTCCTCCATTTTAAAGAGTTTGGCTTGGGCTTGAAAGTACATTAGTATGACTCTTTGGTGGGTAAGGCAGATGAATAGTCGCTTTAAAAAGAATGTAGTGCCTAATTCAAAATTAAATCATAGGCCTGTGGACAGCAAAAAACAAATCACTTACCTGTATGTTGCATTCAAATCCAGTTAAACAATTTCCACTGATTTTAACATTAAGTTTTTGTTTTCATAAGACATATATCCAGCTTTTTTCAATACAATAAAGAGGACATTCACACTGGAAAAATCCTTACTTTTATGAGAGTGTATTATTTAAAACTCTGTATTCCAAAACTACACACCATGAAGCCAACATCAACAAAATGATCCACAATGATATTGAATATTGATGAAAACCAGCAATTCTCATACATTTCTATGTTTAACTATGTTTAACTATGTTTAATCAGCTATTTCAGTATAATGTGGGAATACATTTACCAGAATCAGTAGAGACCAAATGTTAATTATGAAGGCCAAGCACAAATGAATAATCTTATATATAGACCCAGACACATTAGAACTGCAAAGCACTCCGTAGATCTTATTTTATGAAAAGGTACTAAGAGCGCAAATGTATAGGCCCTTTGGAAGCAATTATCCCTAAAAGATTTTGACATAATTCAATCTGAAATATTATAAGAGATTTTAAAAAATGGTTTCAGACAGAAGGGGATTATTTTCACTTTAAATACAGAAATAGAGGCCCACATTCTTCACTCAGTGACCTCGGTGTAGTCTTGGGCATTACATGGGGTAGAGGAGGGAGATTTGAAATCAACTTTTCATTCAATTAATATAATCCCCTATGACAATAAGAATATTAAAAAGTAGGAGCACCAATTTGGCATTGTGGAACTGTGTCACCACCACTGCATGAAAGGTTCTATTCAATACATTCATTAAATATGTGAATTTTAAATCCCATAGTACCAATATGCATGGCAGAGATTAGTTAAGACTGTCTATTTTACTAAATACATGGAGATGTTATATTTCACAGCAGGATGAAATTGCTCAAGTATATGTGTATACAGCATGCCTTGTATATCATATATTTTATTTGACATATGGTCCTCAAGTTAGACACAGGCACTAAAAAGTATGTTTAAAAAAAAGTATGCAAGAGCGCTTACATTGTTTTTGTGATCTGATTCACTGCCAACACTAAACTCCTTCCTAATCCGACATCCTAATAAAATCCTGTGAAGGGGTAACACTTCTGAAAAGCATTGCAGGAGTTAAGATTACTTGTGCATCTCCTAATATCTTAGGAGCAGTCATTCCACATCAGAAAGTACAAAGCATCCAACCGCAATTAGTACAGCAGAATACATTCACAGAAAATGATTTTTGTCCACCTTATGGAATTAGAAACTACATTATATTGTCTGTCACGTCTTTTAAACGAAAGAAAAATTGTTAGGTGGGTTAGAGATTTCTGAAAGCATTAAAGTACTCTGGAATTTCTATCTTTCCTCTTTCCAGCACTCCATACAAAAAGAGTCATGTAGAACAGTTGCCTAAAATAGCAGGAGTGAAACAGGTTACTTGTCTTGGTCTTACAATTTTTATTCTTTCTGAGCAACTCACTACTTTAAGAAAGATGATCTTGATGATCTTGGTCTACAGTCTTTTCTAACCATAATGATTCTATGATTTTAAAAAGTAAGAACGTCAATGCCCAGCATTGCTTAAGTGTATTTAAGGGCCCCACAGAGACAATAATCTCAGTTTTTATCACAACCTTTTATGCCATCCTGATCATCATATTTTCACTCAGTTAAGCTGGTAAGTATCCTTTCACTGCTTCGGAGGTGTACCTGTCTGTTGGTCTTTACAGCAAATCCATAGCATCACATTTTTCATTAGTCGTTTTTATCACAATACACTTTTACCACTTCACTGTGCCCCAATAAATCTTCCACCAAAGGTGATTGGTCATTACCAATTAAGCTTAGTAGACCAGAAAATATTAAACTTTTTTTGCTGTTAGAAAGAAAAAAAAAAGTTTCTTAATATAACATCCTAGGTGGAGAGGGAGTCTGTATAGTCATTCTTTATCCAAGATGGGTGTTTACGTCAGAATTGATAACATATAGTACAGTTTCTGATTAGCATGCAGAGATGATCAAAGTAAATGCAGTGCTCTGGATCACTGTAAAAACAAAAATAGCTGTGCTGATATTTTATTCTGCATGAGAAGGACAAACTGCCTGTCACAGTTCTTTGAATGAAAATGCTCAGATGACCTACAGGATGCTCTGTGGCTGACAGGGCTGGGTTCTCAGGCTCTACACGCGCTCTGTGCGTAGCGAAGATTTATGATAGCTACTGAGAGCACATAAAAGCTTGGATGAGGTAGCTAAGAAGAAAGGGATTCCAGAGAAGAAGTACGTGCCATGATATGACTGTGAGTTACCTGGCAGTAAGATGTGAAATCTCTCTTAAGGTGAGCTCTGCTGCAGCTCAGCAGCATCAGCAGCACACGGGCCTCAAGAGCTGGGCCTAACAGGGTGCTCCATCGTACCCATTCCTAAGGAATCACTGACATGACTTTCAGCCCTGATAGCTGGTCTGGGGCATGCAAAAATATAGAGTATGCAAAAAAAAAAATGTGACAAGCTTTTCATTTAAATGAATGTTTTAAATGAACTAGTTTGAACAAATATTCATATGCTGTATGTCAAAGCTCCTATTGCGCCAGTATTTCAGGTGGATGTTTTCTTGCTTTCAAGGTCAAGAACTCAACCAGGCAGCATTTTAAAAAGTACTTGGAAGACTCTGTCCTCACTGAAGACAACAGTAATATAAATTGAAACAAACCCTACAGAGTATAATATTAAAGTACGACTCCCCAAAATTGAAAAGCATTCCTTTCTTCCTCCCCAGACTCTCATCTCCAAGAGACCACGACCAATTAACCTCTAACTTTGAAAAATCAAAAATGCCTGTGACAGGCCAGCCAGAAATTAGTTTGTTTAAAGAACAGGGACTAGGAGAGTAATATCGGGGATAGGAATTAAATCCTACTTTAAACTACCAGGTCACTTCTTGCTCCGAGAGCATTACGTCAGACATTACTAAACACAAAAATCACAATGTCAGTAAAACACTGCTGTTTTCCAACATAAAGACTCCGTGCATAACTTTTCAAACATACAGAAAAAACAAATCAGTAAGAAATTAATTATAAAAATAATTATTTGAAATAGTTTTGCCATGCTGGGCAAATACTAACGTTTAGTGATAACATATTCAAGAAAATTCTATTCCTGTAGTGAGAAATAATCCTGGAAGGCTTATTATCTCTATTTTCAGTCACCTGAGGATGGATTCCTTTTTAAAATAGTGCGCGCCTGATTTTGTAATAGTCAGTAGAGATTTTAACGGCAGTAAAAAGCCCAAAGAAGATACAGTATTCATGTGCCATGTACTGTCTATCAGTTCATTCACTGTACTTTTTTTCTGAGAAATATCAAACTAAACAAGGAGTTCCTTTAATGCCTACAGCTTGCATTGATCAAGTCATTGCACTAATACTGATGTTTTCCTAACATACAAAAAAAAAGGATACAAAGGAAAATCTGCCTGTAAATGAGATTCATTTGAATTTTAGTGCCTATAGAAAACACTATCAACACAGCAGCTTCTCCTAAATTTATATAACCTCTCCACTACTTGTAAGAGATTTTTTAAAAACACAGTGCTTGAATAGGCAAGATGCTTGTTTATCTTACCTGGCACTTCCTTTTATTCTGGCTAGTGATGTGCTTGCTAGTTTTATGTAGTATCAATTTCATTGATGTTACAATATTAAAATACCACTTTTTCAAACTAAAACAGAAATAACCTGCCACTTTACACTGTCCTTTCTCTGACCCTCTCCCTCCTCTCTGCTCGTTTTTATTCTTATTGACAGGACTTATTATTCCTCTTCCCAATTCCAACTAGCTACCCTTTTGCAAATAGTGCTATCAACTATGTGGTCACTAGCAGTACAGGTCAACAATGTTATTAATATAGCACACACTGCTAGTAGCAGATCAAACAGCCACACTTTAAAATATTAGTTTTGTGAAAGTACCATGAAGCAAATGCTTGCTGTTTTCTTCACATTTTCAAATGTACAATTAAAATTGTAATGAGAATTTAGTATTAATTACTACAAGGCAGCTCAATAATATGGAATATACATTATTTTTTTCTTGTTGTTTTCACACAGAAAATAATACCATAACAGAAGGGTGCTGTATCCGTGTTTAAAGAAGGGGTTGTTGGCAAACACCATAGCTCACTTCTGTCGAAATGTACACAACTGATATATGCAGCCCAGAAAGCTGGCACCAGGGGCTTACAACCTTAATTTGCCTGCAAGAAGGACTGGAGATTTACCTTCAGAGCACGTTCTTGATTGTTTTCAGCAGTCAGATGTCTCGTGTTGTTTGCTGAAGTCTGGTTCTGCTCTTTCAGATGATGAAGCTCCTGCTCCAGCCGTTTGCACTGCAACGAGGAAAGAATCCCATTAAATAGAGGAGTGTGGGCATATTTTTTTCAACAAGCCAAATGAATTAACGTAAATAACCCCATCGCTATATCTGCAGTAGAGGAAGCATCAGACAAAAGCAAGTTACAATCCAAAAGCTAAACGACTATTAGATCGACATTTTTATATGTGCATCATTATGCAGGTTTTTCCTGATCCAGTTGTATGCCAAGAAAACCTCCAAGTTCAGTACCAGATAAAGATATTTCATAAAACATTTTAAGAGGTATTAAAGATTACAAAGATATTGGTATTAAATAGCTGTAGGAGGCTTGTAGGAAGTATATCTACGCTTTTTTTTTTTTTAAGCAAATTAAAGACCATCCTCCCAAATTCAGAACACATCACATTATTAGAAAATATATATGTAAATTTTATACTTATATTTTTCATACTAGGAGATTAATTTCCAAGCGCATATCACATATTTGAGGAAAAGAAGTTTTAAGATTGTTTTAAGTATTTAACTTAACGGCACAGAATCAAAAAATTAACATTTGATACTGTTTGCCTGCATACATGTATGGTTACTGTTGTCAGCCTGACATGTAGTCTAAAGAACAGGGATCTGCTAATTGTTAGCTAGATAATACTCCAGTTTTTATATTGACCGTAAGAAGCTGTGCCTAGCTTAAAAGAGAAAGAGCTAAGTTAGTTGTTAGTTTAAATTAGTTGTCGAATGATAATCATTGTCTTACCAATAAAAAAAAATTGCTGCTAAGAAACAAAGTTAGAGGAAAGATACCGGGCACAAAGGTATCAGGAAATTATACAGAAATAAGGAAAAGCAAAAACAGGACAACACAGAAAAAAAAAATGAAACAGAGGGCAAGTTGTACAATGAAGAGCATAGGCAAAATCTATTCTGCTCTCCATCTCACTCCTGTGTAGGCAGAACAATGAAATAAACAGTAGCTGGGGGATTCCTGTATCCCACAAGCAGACAGAGTGCATAGGATAAAGATGCGACAGACGTGGCAGAGTGCCTGCCCGCCTGTCTATCAAGAGGACCTGGACACAACTACATTTACATCGATATTGGTAGCATATCTTAATTTACTTTCAATTTCATTTTCACCAAAAATGCTGATACCTGAAAAAACCTGCGCATATGGAATTGGCATATTGCTTGAATCCACTTTGAAGGTATCATTGAAAGATAAGGCAACCCGACTTAACCTTCGTACACACGTGCCTTAATTTGCTAGAGACAAGGCTTTAACAGAAGAGGCTCAAATGAATCAGGAACGAAAATGTATTTATTTCCAGGGGTCTAGGAAATCAGATCTTAAAATGTTTGTGAAATTATTATAATAATACTCTTACATATTAACAATTCATATACCTTATAAAATTTTTATCTTTACGATAGCTTTATACCTGAACTACTTTTTAAAAATGGTATTCTATAAAGGCATTTTTTTTAAACAAAGGTCAAAAAATTTCTATGTAATCTTGTTATACAGAAAGAGCTTTAAAAATAGAGTTTTAAACAATGCAGTCCTCCTATTCATTTCAGCCAACCTTATTTGAATTCTCATTGTTAGCAAGGTCCAGTAAAAATGGATGTTCTTTAAAAGAACCTGTGTTTTTACTGGTTCCCTCCAGGGCTCCAAGAGGCCAGCAGCCTCAAGAAATTGGATTTCCTTCTGAAAACATATATAAAAATACTTTTTGGAGCCCATTGAAGAGAAGACATCATCCTATTCAGTACTGACAAACAGGACAAGCCAGAGGGATCCCGTAAAGAAAGCTGAGAGCTAAAGGAAGTATTTCATTTTAAACATTATAAATACCTAAATCCTTTTATCCCAAACTTGCGAAAATTCATACTTGGGAAATATTCAAATATAATCCTCCTAAAGTCAGAGACAAATTAAAATATTTTTACAGCAACACAGGTTGCCTAAATGTTCTGATCTGAAGCATAATTGTGCACTTAGACGGAACTTTCCATGAACTTAATACTCTTGAAAGATGGGATGGTAATACGGAAAATTGTTTCTTTACTGCAGATACTATGAGTACATCAAAGAATATGAGAGTAGCGTGGATGGATGTCAAGGAGCATACACCTGGACCACAGCCCTGAAGACTTAGCTAAGAAAAGGATATTAAAACCTCCAAGATGGCAGCATATCATTTTATAAAGGTTTCACAGAAACGATTCACCCAGGATCGGCCTCATCACTAGACTCCTGGGTGCACTCAGAAGTCTGGGGCAGTATTAAGGAAAAAAAAGACACTCCCTTCTTCTCTCAAACCCTAACATTTGTTCACCTACCTGAATATACATTTTCCTTTTAAAAATTCCTCACCTAAGTTACCCTCACTTATGTTATATAATCAGTGTCAGACAGTCAATCTCTTTAAGCCTACTACAAGCATCAGCAAACATCAGTGTCCATTTGTACCATTTTCATTGGAACATCATCTGTTCCCAATACAGGCACTCAGTTTTCCTTTACGCCACCCTGACGTGGTGCAACCCACCTGTACTATTCTAAACGCACCATTTTTTGCGAACAAATACTCCCATACTCCACAAGTAGCTAAAGCACAAAGCAAAACTCAAAGCAGGTAACTGACCCAAAAGATAGTATGAGATTCAGAAAGAAAAGGAGAGAAAGAAACCAAATATAGCAGTTCTTCACCCCTTCTCATTTAAACTATGAGGTATTAGTGAGCCCTCAGACTGCTTGGCACCAGCGTAAGCTAATGCGATTCAGCAG